TAATTAAAAAAAATTAAAAGAAATAAAACAATACACTTGCAATTTTGACATCTGGTTGATTAAATGGTATGAAAAATATGCAATTGTTGGAGTTTTGCAAAAAAAAGATTATCCTGGAAATTGTTGTTTGCAAATATGCACAGAGAGACGTTTTAGCTGCATTGCATTTCTTTTTTTCTTTTACCATAATCTGTTTTTCATTTATGAAGTTGAGTGCAGTGTTTTTTTTTTTTGAGTTTGCTGTGCACCATGGTCTTCAAGGTATGAGTTTAATTCTGGAATATTCTATTATTTCTTCAAATTGTAGTTCCCACTGAAGCATTGCTTCTCTTTTCCTTATTATGAAGGTGACATGTGAACAGCCAGATGAAGAACACACAGGGTTAGGTCAGAGAGGGGAGGGTCCATGTGTGATGCCTCTTTCCCATGATGCAGAGTGCACGGTGTTCCCAGCGCATGGACGTGTGGCCAGTTGGATGCTCCCTGAACTCTGTCTTTTAGGGTATTTATAGACGTTTCATCACTGAGCCCTAACTGTGGATGCTGGTGACCAACACCACCTCCAGGCCTTCTCCCTTCCCAGAGGTCGGAGATGGCCCTGGAAGTCTCAAACTTCTAATCTAAGGCTAACTGACCTTGTGGTGATCAGCCCCATTCTTTTTAAAAATAAATAAATAAATAAATAAATAGGCACTGATTTATTTAGTATGAAGAAAAAGATGGGCCATAGGATTTTCACATCACAGGGGGAACTTTGGTTGTGGAACCCCAAGACATGACCTCACTTCTTTGGCAACATCTTCAAACAGAACTTGGAACCCTTCTAATGGGCGTCACAATCTAGTACCAACCGTCTCCTAAGCTCACCTGGCCGGAGACGGTCAACAGCGAACATGCTGAGCTGCTTCTCCAATTCTCGAGGCCGTAGCCTCAGGACCCCAGGCAGAGAAAGTATCTGTGAAAGACTGAGAAGACGGCTGACTCCATCCAGAGGCCGCAGGCCACACTGCAGCAGCCACATGACTGTCACAGACACCCCAGGGACGGTCTCCAGGGGAGTGACCACCAGGGACCTATCAAAATCAAGGTACCTCTGTGAAGTCTCCCTAAGCCCAAATA